CGCGCCCTGCGACCAAGTCCCGCCCGCCCGCCGCCTTCCAGGGGAGAGGAGCTTTTTTGAGGGGTGTCCTTTCCCCTCGTCCCAACAGCCCTCCTTTTACGGTTCATTTTTTGCAGTTTGACGCCTGTCCCTCCCTCCCTCCCCCACCCCTGAGACCCAAGAGACAGACGCCGCCGGAGCTGGCGACACCCGGCGTCCCCGCGCTAGCTCCGCTCCCGGCTGCCGGCCGGTGGCTGGGGGTCGGGGCGGCCAGCCCCTCGTGCCCATAGACTCTTTTGATACTGAAGGGAGGTTTGCGTCAACGACTACCTGCTCTGTAATTACTTTAAAAAAAAAAAACACGGAAAAAGTAAAAAAAAAAAAATTTTTTTTTTGGTCATGAAAGCATGGAGGAGACCCAAAACAAAATGGATATGGGTGGGGACCACAACGAGGGGGTGGAACCGAAGCCTCACAGGTCCCAACCAGCTTGGCTCATCTCCAGGTGGTCTTAGGCGCCCCCCTCCCCCAGACCCCAGAGAGGGTTATGGTCACCCGGTGCACACCTGCTGCTCCCATGCACCTCCCGGCAGCCAGTCTCTGCTGGGAATTCTCACACTGCCTCCCACATCTCTGCTGACAACATGGCGGGGGCCTAAGGCTGCAAAGTACCACTGGCTGGGTGGCCTAAAACAACCGCGTGTATCACGTGTGGCAGTGCTGGAGGCTTCAAGGCCAAGCTCAGGTGCCAGCCGTGCTTTGCAGCATCGTCCCCCAGTCCTTCCCCTGTGTTGACACATCACCTTCCTGCTGTATGTGCCTGTCTGTATCCACCTGGGCCTCCATGCAGGGCCAGGTAACAGGAGATTAGTTAGGAGCCCACCTCCAGGAAAAGCGTCTCTTAACCTGATCATTGGAGACAGCCAACCATCAGAGGCCACATTTGAGGTACCAAAGGTCAGGACTTCAACATCTCTTTCCAGATGGCAAAATGCAACCCATGACAGGGTCCAAATCAGAGGGTCCTTCTCCACTGCAGATCCCCCCAAGCCTGCTGGGGAATGAAGCAAGTGGCTGAAAGGGAGCGTGGCTGGTAGGGGTGGGTGTGACAGGAGGGTGGCTCCAGCTACAGGAGGCCTGGGGAACATCAGGGGAGTTGCAGAGACAGGACAAGTGCCCAGGAAGGGGAAGGGGACTGAACTTGGGGACAGACTCTGGGGTCCTTCCAGAAAGAGTGGTGCTGGGCCAGGCCAGTGGGCAGCTGCAGGGGTGAGTTGGACATCTCCGGGGGTACACAGTCTCCAAGATTCAACCTTAAGAAGGCTGGAGTCCCCAGGGCTGTCATCACAAGCAGGAGGAGACAGAGGGAAGCAGAGGGAATGAGGAGCCAAGTCACCCAATGGCCCCTCCCCCATTTACTTTGGCACAGCTGCCCCCATATACCGGTGCCCTGAACACCAGGGGGGACACTCCAGCCCTTGGTAGAGGCCACCACACAAGGTGAAGAAGGAGGAAACCCCCCACTGCATGTATCTGTGTGCCCCAGAGGGGTCTGGTCAAGGGTCTGCATTCCTGGTGCCTGCCCTCTTTCCTGGCTCTGTGTCCACGGCACCTTATCTCCTCCCCCACCCAGGGCACTTAAAGTGAATTCTTTCCTTATCTTCGGGGACAGTGCCACCCCTGCATCAACAGTAGGGCCTCTGGCCCTATCTGCCTGTGCCTGTCTCCTCTGGGCAGGTCGACTTGGGACAAGGGCCACTAGCTCTGGATCTTTCATGCTTTCTCCAGGCCCTTTCAGTGCAGATCCTGGTTGCCATGGCAACACTGTGGTGGTACCAGGTGGTGGTGGGGGCAGGGAGCCAGGCCTGCTGCAGCTCAGCCATCTCCAGTGCCAGGCCCGCCAGGCCAGGCGCAGGGACTGTGCTGATCCTGGGGGCACTCGGGGACTCCCCAGGCTGCGCAGGTTCCTCCTCTGTGATGTGCTGCTGGTGGGGAGAGGGAAGGACAGACTGAGAC